CAGTGTTTTTATTTCCCATTCTTCATCCATGAAGCTAAATTTTTCATTCGCAGATCGCCGTTTGTCGAGCCCTATTTGCATCAATTTCTGCACTTTCGATGTTACTCCACAATTTCGATACAGCCCTTGCTCCCTTATTCCTAAAAACTCGCTCCTCGTCAGTCTCCTCAAAAATGTGCACTGGCATGTGAAGTTATATCCAGGCAGATCACCCAAACGGTTTAACTGGTAGATTTTACTTCCCTTCTGGTTTTTAATCTTTTGTTACTAAGCTGTGCGGAAAACCGATATCCCGCAATTCTTCGTCCCACAAATCTCGAATTTCAAAAGACTCCGAGCAGTATTTACTTTGGAACGAATGCACTGCGCATTCCGCCTATTTCCAGCACGGCAGTGCGAAACTGCACATTTATATCAGAAAAATATAGAATTTAAGCTCTGAAAGATATTATCTCAAGCATTTTCAGCCTTTAACGCTGCTTGGTGCAATCAACTTAATGTACACTATGTGTATACATGCGCATACGTATATGTGTAGTATAATTTTAACAAGCCCAGTGTTCCCAATGGTTTTAAAGCAAAGCGAGTAATCCTGGTCGTTCGCCCTACCTTTTTCTTCAATTGCTTCCACGCATTTTCGCACAAAATCGAATCCAATATCGTCGAGGGCTGCTGCAAAAACGAATACATTTCAGCTTTCATCTATCAAAGTTAAGAAATCTCGGGAAAAAACATTTTAACCAACCGTGGCATTCTTCCAGCACAAAGGCTGGCAAGAAAGCACTGCCGCAGTAAACCGCTCGAAGGCCTCTGGCAAGATTGTACGCAGATGTGCCAAGTTCACCAGTGGTACCCAGTGATGAAGCACGCTCCTTGACCGAGGACGGCATCGCTTGTCAGTGAATATGAGAGCAACAGGAATTTCCAGAGAACCGAAATTTCAGAATGGACAGAAAAGTGTCATTTTCGCGAACTAAGACATTTCAGAGCGTAGTTAAAAAAACTGCACTTGCCTCCGAGTGAGCTTGAAACTGATGCTCAAAAAGGCCAACAAGCAATACGGAGAAACTTCCCAGCCTTCTTCCCCTCGTGCCCTACAAATTCCTCCAAATTTTAAATCCCGATTAGGTATTGAATTTTGCTCTCCCTCCCCACCAGTGCCTTTCCACCATCTCCTGCGCAAGTGACGTCAATTGGACCAGCACGAACACTGACATCAAAATGAATCCTTGGACGGAGTGTACTTTGAAAATTGAAAATTTTCTTAAAAATTGTTTCCCTAGAATAATATATATCGACAAGCCATTTCGCAGCACTCCGCAACAGCGCAGCGATTAGCCAATAAGGAAGTAAAATCCAGTGGATTCAAAGTTGAACAGATGAAAACCGCCCGGCCCTAGAAATCAAAAATTCCAATTCGAAAGGCTCGTCCCGTCAATATTCTAACAAATCACAAAAGAACAGAAATGTTATCAGCAAATCGGACGAATCCATCGGAATCTCTTGACAGTGAATTACACGATTTCGGCTTCGAACTGGAAAGAACGAAACCACTGTCACCAGCACCTATGGTGGACTGGGCGACGGGTGAATAACAGCTGTTCAGAGAAACAAAATAAAGCAATCAGCAAGATTGCCCGGAATCAGAAAGAGAGCATTTGCTGTTATTGAGATGCCATAGGCACAAGCATTACCAAGATTACCAGATTGCCCGGACAAGGGGTATGGGAATCCAATGTTAGCAATGTTATTGAAATGTTCCCACACGTCGGTTGCAAAGGCTTATGTAACATAAGTGTGCTATGCCAAGGATTTGCTTCTTTTAATGCAAGAAGATCAGGCGGGGAAGCGATGAAAAGAGACAAAAAACTTAGAGAAAAAGTAGAAAATCTAACTAGATCGTAGCAAAATTAAGCATCACACACGTTAGGGTTGTATATTAT